TATCTTAAACTGAAAGAACCCAAGAAAAAGTCAAGCTTTGAGTTGAAGGATTCTATGGGCAAAATATCAAATGATGCAAAAAACATCCAAAAAGATGGAAAGTACAGAGGGGACAGTTGACAGTCAACCATTTCAAGAGATAGCATAGAGCAAGAACCAATGGTGCTGAAGGAGAAAGTTCAAGCTGCACTGAAAGCATTAGCCAAAACCAAGGCTTCAGGAATTGATGTTTCAACACGCTCATGAAGCACTGGAAGCACTCATCTATGCCAGGAAAATTGGAAGACAGCCACTTGGCCAACTGACGGGAAGAGATCCCTATCTGTACCCATTCCAAAGAAAGGTGAGATTGCACAGAATGCTCAAATCATAGTATCATTAATATCACATGCAAGTAAAATTGTGCTGAAGACCCTCCAATAATGGTTGCAGCGGGACATTGATAGGGAGCTGCCAGAGATTTCAGAAGAGGGCTCAGAACAAGGGATATCATTATTGTTGTCAGATGGATCTTGGCTGAAAGCAGAGAATCCCTGAAAGACGTTTACTTGTGTCCCGGCATCAGGAAATGAAGATCTAATTTAACCCTTCACTCCCCCCATTTAACAGACGGACCTACCTTCTCTTCCCCACAGCAGAGCTTCACTCTTCTCTGTCCCAAATTCCTCTGACAATTACGCGATGGATGACTACTTATACATCTCTTCTGACACACTGACGGATCAGAAAGGTCATGCATACCAAATCAGCTCACACTGAACTGTACCTCACTGATCGATGGGTTAAATCATAGCGTGTTTGCACCTTCCTTTTTGCTAGCTCAGGGCTGCTGGGAAAGGTGTGAGCTGCTAATTGCTGTTAGTAAGGTCAGCTGTTCGAAACCACCAGCTTCTCTTTGGGGAGAAAGACAGGGCTTCCTACTCCTGTAAAGCATTAAAGTCTCTGAAACCCACAAAAGCAGTTCTACCCTGTCTTGTAGGGTCGCGATGAGTCGGCATGGGCTCGATGGCAGGGAGTGTGGTTTTTTTGTTTTATTTTTTTACAGCTCTTCCTCTTTGATGCTCCCACACCAATAATACCATTTTCTTATCAGAGGGGACCACTCTCCATCCAAAGCTGTTTCCCAACATTTACACATACATTTATATAAAACTTTAGATAGACCTTTCACCTAGTGTGTGAGTTTCACCTAAATGCACCTTCCCTATAAAGAGTTATTCTGGAAATTGCTCCCCCTGCCCCCCACTGCCTGACTCCACAGTATGTTTGGAACCCTCTCCTGGACAGTACATACAGATCAGCGTCACATTTACATTCCACTAGACATGGTGTACTACAGCTCGGCGTCTCAGTGCGTCTTCAAACCACCTACAGGCCTTGTTAACCTGCAGGTTCTGATGCTGCAGGGCTGGGATAAGCACGGAGGTGCTGTGGTCCTCCAAAGCTCCCAGGTGCTGCTGATCAGGCAGATGCGGCGTTGAGTTGCAGGGGTGATAGGGGTGGGTGCCTGTTGGGTGTTGGTACCAACTCATACCAGCTCGTGAGAGCAAACTGTCAAATGTTCAAGGGGTTTTAATTAAAATTAAATTCTGTCAACTCATAAGAAATCAATGATACTCAAAACAGGTAATC